CACAAACATGCACACGTTAAAAATGACATTTATCGTACACCTTTAATCCTCTCGCCCATTTTTCACCCACTAATCCATCTTACACAAGACTTCATGTAATGCTTCAAACACTGTAATGGTTTCCTGGAGCTGTAATTTTAATTGTATCTCAATAGTCCCCAGCTGTCAAATGTTTCCTTCTTCCCCTATAAAAGATGCTATTTCCCCAACAAATTTGCACTGCCTTGAGTCACAAAATGATGATCTTTCCAGCCACAGTCAGTTGAAGTCTTATCGTCTGATACCACAGGACAAGTACAAAAATGGGATCCTTATAGCTTTGAAAAGGGAGCATTTCCAAATGGCTACGTAGCACGCAGCACGTGTGCAATCACACCTGAGTGTGCAAAGGGAACAGAACAATTTGAGAAAAGCCTAGTTCATATAAGCTTCAATTTTTCTTGTTCTGCCCACTCGTAATCATTGGAGTAGGCAAGTGGTATATCACCGTACCGAGATCAAACCCTTGCGGTCTTGGCGTGATTCTTATTTGACCGAGTCAACCCAATGATCTGCGCTGCTGGTAAAAGGAACCGAAAATATGAAGACATGAGGGGAGAATGATGGATGGATGCGGGGGTTGAAAAGGGATGCACGGGGTGCTTCCTCCAGTCCCTTCACAGGATCTGGTGAAGTGAGCCCTCTGCTTATGAAAGCTTATGCTATACTTCTCCAATTTAGCTCGTCCATAAAGTGCAAATCCACCCTGTCTTCTGCCTGACTTCAGGCTACCATGGCTAACTGCACCTCTCTTAAACTATGCCAGCCAGTCAAGCGCTCAGAGGAAGCCGGTTGGCATGATATACCCGCCATGGGCAGCATCACCTGGTCTTCCTGAAGTACATAAAATCCTAGAGAAGCGGGGCTGGAAGGGATCTCCAGAGATCACATCTAGGATCTCCAGAGGTCACAGCCCCCTGCCTGGGGCAGGACCAGCCCTGTCCAAACCATCCTAGACAAACCATAATCTAAACTCTCTGTAAGACTGCTTCCTAACGCCGACGTGCTGCAGATTGAACGCTAACAAGCTCATTTTCTCTGTGTGTGCACGTGCATCATGAGCGTTAAAACAGGGAGGCTGCTTACCACTGGCGATCAACTTTTCTGCAGCACTTTTGAGAGTGCATTTGCTTAAGTGATAACGCACAGACGGTCGCACGCCTAGCCACTACTGCCCTAGGTCACCACGTGTTGTCAAAACGCGTTCGTGTAACGCTCATCGGCTGCAAAGGAGGGACAGATGCAAACCACTCCACGTGAAAGCTGTGTGTTTCGGGAGACAGATGTAATGGTATATTGTCCCGGTAGCAACGCTGAAGGGCTCGGATGCTGCCTCTGAAAGCTGGGAAGCAGTTTTCTTACGAATCAATCATGGACAACTTAATGTTGTATGAATCGCGCTTGTTTTTATCTGATAACCTAAAGCGTTGTTGCCTTCATGCCAAATTATTGTTAAATCCTCAATTGATTGGATTCCAATGATGGCCTGAACTTGAGGCCTGCCTTGTTCACTCTCACTTTAGTTAAGCTGACGGTAGTTTGGTGAAGATTTTAATTGATTTTTGCTTTGCTTCCTTGGCCATTTGCAATAAAGCCAGTTAAATGAATAGGTGGCTGGTTTTTCTTTCAAAACTGCAGCGAGGCTCACCCACTCCAGCATGCTAACGGTGCCCCAGGTAATAAATATACATACCGCTGGTTCTGCTTCTAATATAACCCTTCCTGCTTATGGACATCTCTGTGCCTACCTGCTCATGTGGACTTACAGAAAATAGTTATGAAGCAGTTTAGGCTGATGCTGATGTGACAAACCTGACAGACCCACTAAAGCAAGGAAATAAAAAGCTGCCTCGCAGTGCATGATATCCTCAGCACCGGCCTCACCTTACCAAAACTACTCCACCTTGCAATGCCAGCCCTTTTGCACGCACCGTTCAGCCAAGCCTCCTCTCCCAGGGGTGACAGCACCCTCGCAGGGCTGCGCTGTCTGCTCAGCGGACCCATTGCTTGACATTGCTCATACCTTTTTCAGTCCTCCCCTTTCCCCCCTTCATCTGCCTTTCCTAGTCGCACTGTTAATCCCTGGGGGCAGGGACTGTCTCCCTGTGTGTATGTACATATTATGTGTCACAAAAGGGCCCTCGCGTTCGATGGGGATGTGACTGCAAGGCACATCCTAGCGGCAGCATTATAACGAATGTCTGATATGTCGTGGCTCCCCGGGGCAGGCAGCAAATTCTGCGTGTTGCAGTGCAAAAGCTGGGCACTCGTGCTGATGTGAGACCTATTACCACTTACCCTGAGCCTGGGGCAGCGGTAAATTTGGAAGTAAAGTTCCCCCCTGGGGGGGAAAAAAAAATTCTCTGGCAAGTCGAAGATAAAGAAAAAGACTGAAACACAGGCACTGGTGAGGGGCAGCCTCAGGGCAAAGCTTCGGAGCTATTTGCAGCCTTCGCAGAGCTCAAGAATAAAAGGCAATTGGGGAGGGGGGGAAGAAATCATTTATCTGGTACCTCCCAGGCCAATTCCCTCCCTCCAATGTGGAAATACAGCTTTCCCCAACTCAGCTAGCTGCTGTGGACCATGGAATTGAGCCTTATAGACGTGGTGTGACGCTATTCGAGATGAGCCTGTAAATTAAAACTGTCTCTCTCACACCCCTGGAGCTTTGGAGAAGCTGAAACCGTCCCCGAGACTTGAAAGGAGCATGTCGGATTTGTTGGGGGCGTGGGTACAGGTCCCAGGGACAAAGATGGTTGCAAAACTTGAGTTACGTGAGCTTGCGTGCTGCATTGTAATGAGTCAAGACAAGAAAGAATCAAAAGCCTAAGATGCTTCGGCAAAGTGGCTGGGATTAAAGCCGGCAGAAGGCTACTGGAATGTGCTATAAATACATATCTGCGTGCTGCGCCAACTGCATACAGCTCAGGAGCTGCTGGTTTCATCTGAGGGCTTATGCCAGTAAGAGCCTGAATTAGAAACCTGGTGGCATGTGCCGAGCTGAACCTGTTACACATCGGAGGATGCCAAGGGCCGTGCCTTCCTCCCGAGGAATGCTCCTTTGCTCCGCTCCCTGATCGAAGGGCAATAAAAGGCAAAGAGGGGCAGTGGAAAGGCCGGCACGGCCCTGCAAAGGAAGATGTGGAATGTGAGCTCATCGCCGCGGGTATTTAGGAAACAAGTGTGCAATTCGGGTGTGGCTGGACTGTATCGGTCGTGGGATGCAATCGGAGGAACAACGTCTCATGAGAACAGCTTGCAAACTGTGCGGCCGTTTGCAAACTATTCTAACCTGGACCCGTCAAACTCACTCCGACAACGCTGGATCCAGACGGAAGCACTGCCTTCTCAAGCCTCGCGTTGGTCCGCTCACAAGGTGCATCTCAATCACTTGATAAATCCTTGTGCAAAAGGAAATTGCTGCTGAGAAATGCCCTGGTGCTGTGGTTTTCCACCATGGACCCTGGGGGTCCGCAGACAACGTCTAAGGAATCCACAAAAGATGATTACGATCAATCAGAAGTACGTGAATAGCCACGCTTACCATTCAAAAGGGGTCCGCGCTTCCCTTCAAAAATGTTAAGGGGTCCACAAATGAAAAAAGGTTGAAAACCACTGCCCTAGTGAATCATCTTTGCACAGTCTTGGGCTTTTACTTTTCTGCAGGGGATGGAGCTGCAAGGGTTTCTGCTTTGCAAGTTCATTCTCCTCTTCCTGGCTCTGCAGACCATTACACCCCTTCTTGCCCCCATGTCCTACAAGCAACAAACCGTGCAGCAAGCCAGCGGCTCTGTCAGAAACGGGGCTCGCCCAAACCTGAGGGCATGCCTTGGCATGGAGAAACGACACATTTGTACTTCCCGTTAACTAACATGTAGTAGCTAAGCACGTGATACGATCCTAGCAAAGGCAGGAATGCTAGCAGGCTGAGTCCTGGACTATGGGGGGAGACTAAGATTTCCCTCCCCCTAAATCATGTTAAAATGAAAGATGGTCTTCATTCACCAGGATTTTAAGTCAAGTTAGGTGCTACGTCGTAGCTGAAAAGAGGAAGGAACATCTCCATCCTTACTGGGGAGAAGGGCCTGGAGACCAACGTTACATGCTAGAGCCAGCCCAAAGCTTTTATTGCTCTCTCATTAATTTAGTTCTCCTTGAAACAGGACCCTCGGTGGTTCTTCCATTCAGTTTAGTTAAGACCCCCAAAAAGCTAAAATAGCTGCAACTGCTTGGAGCTCAATCACGTGCCCAGAGGCACCAGCCTTCCTCCGTGCAGCGGGAGAGGAGGGCACTCAACACTTCTCAGGAGGCATCTTCCTGCACCCTACCACACCTCCAGCCGGGTTTCCAACCTTCCTAGTTCAGAGAACAGATCCAATTCCCTTTGGCTAATGCTGTGACGACATCTTCAACTACACACCAGCTTCTCCCAGATTATTTGGAAAGAGCAGATGCTTTTTAAAGCTTTCGCTTGCCCACCAGGAGCATCAGGAACTGCCATCAGAGCAAAGGTACCGTAACTAGAAAATGCATCGCCCAACACCAGACCTGGGAAAGCCACGCATCAGATAAAGAGGCTGTTTTACCGGGTACACGCCACTCTCCGGACAGCACGCGGATGGAGCTTAGCTGGCACGAATGCTTTTGCAGAAATTCACATATTTACTGATAGTTTCTAGCGATTGTTTCTCACCCTCCCACTCCTGTCACAACTGGCATTTCAGCTTCGGATGCTAATTATCACAGGTTCAGACTGTAACACTCACTAGGATGGAACTGAACAACCTTCTCCTTTCTCTCCTCAACCACACACTCGGGAGGACAAGCGGGATCTCTGATGTACGGAGCAGACCGTATCCGACTAATCTATCACGGGGTTTTGTCCCGCATCGTTAGTTTGCTGTAAATCCTGGCTCTCACACATACAAAGGGCTTGCGTCCACCGGCAGAAATGCACTTACCTAATAGCTGCACCCCCCGGGTGAGTCCGTACACATCGATCAGAGCCCACAGGGGCTCGGTGGTCCTCACTCCGCTGAAGAACAACATTGCAGCAGAGTCATTGACTCGGTAAAACACCCGTCCTTTCTTGTCCACCCAGAACGCGATGATGTTGCCTTCATTTGCAAACTCCTCTGGCAGAGCCTTGGCCCAGAACCCGCTCTGGGAAACCAAGTCCGGGCAAGCGTACTTTGGCAAAGTGTCTGGGTTAATCCTGGAGGGATCCTTCGAAGTAAATCCAAGCCGAAGGGCCCCGCTCCAGCAGCACTGCTTCTTGGTGATCTGCAGAGAGAAGAGCGGCAAGACAACCTTTAGCATTCGCAGGGTCCTTTACAAGCCTGTAAGGCAGGTGTGGGTCCACCTGGGCGTGACCCCCACAGGATCAGGTCCCTAGTGTGTGCTCACAGGTCGTTTTGTTCGCTGCCAAGAGGCAGCTGCATCTGGGGTGGGAGCTAGCAGCTGCTCTGCCAACCCACAGCAACGCTGCACTAAAAGCTGGGACACGATATAAATGATTCATTTTGCATCCAATGAAACCTAGCAGGGGAGTGTAAGGAGCCCTAGAGCTCTGTCTATGTTGTATTGCCCGGATAATTGAAAAAGTGCCCAAATTTCAAAGATGTTGTATTTCATATAAAACCCCACAAGCTACACAGCAGCCACCAGCACTGGGCTTGGATACTGGATCTATCATGACTTGATGGAGAACATCTACTACTGAATCACTGTCTCCGTTTCCAGCAGCTCCTTCACCTTTTCTAGTGCCCCCAGCCATGTATAAAACAAGATTTCCCCCGGGTATCTTACTGGGTTAGATGAGGATAGAAAGGTGGGTAGGGGTAGGGGAGAGGTAGCAATCACCCTCTCTCGGTAGTGATCAAGGACCAGGCACTGAGGCAAGGAGCTAAACAGAGGAAAATGGCATGGGAGGACTGCAGCTGCCTGGCAGTCTGCTCTCAATTAACCAGTCCAGTCTGTTTCTTTGCAGTAGGAGGTACCTGATGTGAGGAGGCAGCTTGTTTCTGTCTCCAGGATTTATGACACTTCTTGAAGGCATCAATTTGTCTGGACGGATCAGAGCAGAGACCTATCTCTGCTACTGCTGAAGTCACTTTTGTCTGCGGGTGGCTGGCATATAGACTCTGAGAGACTGGAGCCAGGCCCCGGGAACTGCAATGCTTCACTGGTTTTGCCTGCAAATAGGTTCTGCCTTTCAAAAGGCAAATCCTCTATTGTTGTTTGTACCCCCTGGAAACACCCGAGCCACGATGCTCACCTCCCAGTCACGGATCAGAGCACCGTGCCCATCGCACCAAGCAACAGCCGCAGGTCTCCTGCAGTGAAGCAGCCTTTGACGACATCCCTCAGGTTGAAGGAGATTTCAAGCAAACTTGCCATAGAAACTCAATTAGTGCAACCGCGTTTTGATAAACTAAGCCTGGAGCTTCACAAAATGCATCTGAAGGCTGGGGCTGGGAGGAAACACTGGTGCTTTTTTTCCGAGTTGATTTTTATTGGTTCTGTCTTGAGGGGGTTTTTCATTTGCTACCGCGCTAAGCAGTCCAGGATTTGGAAAAACCAGTCGTTCAGCTCCCTGCACAAGAGCTTGATTTGTCCTATCCATTGTCTTATCTGTAGGAGCTAAAACGCACCTACCGATGTGCCCAAGCAAGTACGGGGGCTGGAAGAGAGCTTCATGAAGACAAAGCTGCTCTGCTCGGTATGAGTTGGTGCAACTTGTTGATGAGTTTATGCAGGTTCTCTCGAACCACTTCTAGCACCAAAGTCTCACCACTCATAAGGTCTAGGATGACCCAGGAGCAGGAGAGGATGTTTCTGGGAGCACAGCCAAGGATGACGATGCTCTGTACATAGGCAACTGCTTCTCTGACTCTTGTAGGTGGATGGGCCAAGTCTGGAGACTCACCCTGCCCACGCGGTGGGCACCGCACGCTTCCACAGGAGGTACCAGGGTTGGGGACCTTGGTCGAAGAAAAAATGCATGGGAGCACTAATCCAAAGAGCCCCATAAAACCAAAGTAGGTGCCATATGGTATTTGAGACCATCACGCCCTTCTCCATGGGGGGAAATTTAGGTCTACAGCCTTGTCAGATCTGTTTCCCTAGACGGACACACTAGACTAATGGGTGCGAAGAGTCTTGACACGTCTGCTACAGCAGGACAGCTCTCTCTGCTCGGGCCGGGCTCTGACAACGAGTACAAGCCCTCTTGCAGCAAAGCAGGTGCAGCATCAGTCAGGGTAGAGGACAGTCTAGGATGCCTGGTACACATCAGTAGAGCGGACGGCCGCCACGCTGGTACCACGGATTGTTTTGTGAGTGATGACGAGGGTGAGTGATGACGTGCTACCGAAGATTTTGTCGGGGCTCATATTCATGTTAACACTGACGTCGTAGCACTTCAGATGTCGTCCAGTCCACAGCGCAGAAAATCCACGGCCGCTACACGGCCTTCAGGCATGATCAGCACCAACAGCCAATGCCAACAGCAAAGCTACAGTCGTGGGCACCGAGTTATCAGTCCAGCTCGTCCTGTTTTCAACAGACCGGAGATGCTGCAATGCAGATCAGACAACAGCGAGCAGCGGTGGACTAAAGTCTTCACTCTTATTTTGCTCATAAGGAAAGTTTTTTGGGCAAACGAGGCCCCCCTGGAGACTTTGTCGCTGCTAGGTGATGACTTCTTGCGCTTGGAAGCCTCTTGAGGTGCCAAAGCAAGAAGGTTGAGGACCTTACAGGAAATTTCAGGTTTAGAAGAATGAGACTTATTCTCAATCGGCGAGACAGAGGAGGTGGAGGAAGACATCCAGGCAAAGAAAAGCCCGGTCTCTCGGCTCCTGGGAGGTGGCAGGACACACAGATTTTTCTGCAAGGGGATTCTCCGAGCGATGCGCCCGGCACTTTCGAGCACTTGATAGAAAAATGCAGGTTTGCCATTCACTTGCCCTTCTCCAAGGCAAATCGGGCACTTGGTTGTTTAACAACCTAGCCGTCTCCCTGACTGTAAGAAGTTTTGTTTGCCTTGAGGATTTTTCTCTGCTGCCTTCGGCCTCACGTAGCAACCTTGGGGCTTCAGACACTGCCTGTCTGGTGACGCTGCTGTGCCCACGAGCGATAGGCATGCTCCTCTCGCCAGGCAAAATCTCTGCAAGCGCCTACCTAACCTTTTTACATGAAACGGCATCAAACTCTTGAGAAGAGACCGTGAGCTCACGGGAACAGTGTGAGCACCGGGAAAGATGAGGGAGGCTCTGCTGCCTTATAGCCATAGATGGAGGGACATGCGGAGAAGAGCAAAAAAGCATCCTCCCTGCAAAGTCCTGCTGTCCACGGCCTCTGTGCATGCACGCGCCCACATGTGGAAAATATATGCACGTGAGGACTCGAAGACAAAAGTGGGATTATTTATTGTAGCAATTTCCCTGCAAATCCGAAAAGGCCTCTTGGGACCCGGATAAACACGGCCTTGCTGTTATGAGTACAACTCGCTCTTTCCCAGTCTCTCACAAGCGTCTTACGCTCATCGCATGCTCCATGGAATAAACATTCGTGTGGCTGCACATGTCGCCTGTATTAATCAGCGCCTATAAACAAACAGCTGTCAACATAGGCGGGCTATAGGCGAGCGGGTATCAGCGTTGCAATCTAACGTACACCCTGCCAGGACTTGGACACACATGCTTCTTTTAGCTAAAAAAGGCAATGGCTTGTGATGGGCCAAATCCTCTGCTCAGCAAACACCCGCAACGAGAAGGGCTGGGAACAGGCACCGTCCACACCCGGGAACGTGCGGCTGCAAAGCAGCAACGAAGCTGTTTGGTAATTGCTACTGTTTCCTACGTCCTCTTGGTGCTGGGAAATGTGGCTGATGCTACCCGCCGCTCTGGTCCCTCCTGATATCCCAGTACCCCAAATTCCAGCTTTAGGGGGGCACGGGGGAATCGGCATGGCCCTGGAAGTCTCCGCTCCTTTTTATCTGGACAGCTGATGGGCTCTGGCTTCACCGGGCTCCCTAGAGCGGCGGAGACGCCTCTGGGTTTTATTCTGCTATTTAGCAGATGGTTTGAGAGCCCACCGCCCATCGCCCCGTCTTCCAGGGAAGGTTAGACGGAGTAAGGACTGCAGGATTGGGCATCGTAGAAAAAAAGGGCATTTTGCAAATAATCAGGCGGCTACAAATGGACTCAGTGGAAATGCAAAGACCGTCTCCACATTTACACCCATCCCTTGAGCATGCATTTTGCTCACGTGCCAAATTCCCATCAGTTTCCATGGAAGCACCATTGTGCACCCATGGGAGATCTGCGAGCTAATCCTTCACGCACGTGGCGAAAGCTAATCTCCCGATATACATGGACACCTACAGATATGCACTTCCTAAGCTGAGAGGGGAGGGCTGGCTCAGAAAATGCAGGGAACAGCCAACAGTCTGCCTGAGATACAGAACGAGACCCAATCCTTGATGAGCTTTTTCAAAAGCAAAAAAAAAAAAAAAAAGGACCAGCAAAATCTCACCTCCCTCCCAACCACCTTTCTCCGGTTTGCAAGCCACATGTGTTTTCTATTTCCAAGTTGTGGCCAGGATTGGAAGGCGAGTCCAGGATTTCCAGCCGTGGGTGGAAGAAGGAGGGAAGAACTGGGAACTAGACTGTCAGCGAAGACGCCTGTGCGAGGGATATCCCACCCGGGGTCTGATCTCGAGAGGTGCTGAGTACATTCCTCTTCTGCTGAATCCAAAGGAAATCGAGGGCGTTTGGCAACTCCCAGGTCTGATCACCCCCAAGGTCAGAGTCCAGGTTTGCAAACCCAAGAGCTTTGGATATCTGAGAGAAGCATCCAGACTTTTAATCCTTTATTTAAACTGAATGGAAGGGGTAATGAAATCTCCTGAGGCTCCGCTCACCTCCCTTCAAGAGCCACAATCAATACTCCACGGGGGAGCTTAATCTATCCTGGTTTAGAAGCGCCCCGGGGACCACTGATCAAGGCCAACAGCACGACCTTGAAAAAGGATGTAATCTTAAGATTAGCAGCCCCGGCTTGACGGGAAAAAGGCAGCGTGACGTAGGTGTATCCAATATCTCCTCACCCCCTCAGAAAAGGAACCAGAAACCGGGGAAGCAGGAAATAGCCACCAAGGAGGACCGCAGAAGGGGAAGCCACAGTATTGCAGCAAGTCCTGTTGGCAGGTGCTTGTGCATTGCAGCGGGAGTAGAGAAGCAGGGCAAGGCCTTCCCTTTCCCCTGTGACAGCGGCTCCAAGGGGGCAAAGGGGTCTGGCCCGTGTTTCAGCTGCACGGCTGGGAAATGCTGCTTCGGAAGAGCCGAGCGCTGCGTAGCGCTGACATCCGCGAGCACAGCCTGCTACTGAAGCAAGTGAGATGCTGCTGGCGGGCCTGGAAACATACCCTCCGGGTAAGCCATCCGCTTGTCCTCGCATCCAGCGTCCTCACCGGTCATGGGCTGGAACCGGAGAAAGCCCTCGAGTTTATCCACTTCCAACAGGAACGGCCGGGGTGATACCGAGGTCTGGCCCGGGAAGGACGCGTTGGCGATCCCTCCTCCGGAGGCAGCTGCTCGCAGGAGCAGGGTGCAGAAGTTGGTAGCAAAGCAACTGGGAAAATCCATCTTCCAGCACAAAGGTCTCAGGTAGAAAGCACTGAACAGCAGCAAAGTCAGCTCCAGTCATCGGCGCTAGGACTGGGCAAGTGAGGGGAAGACGGTCACACCGCAGAGCTGATCTCCAGATCCCTTAATTGAGCAGGATCCTAAAAGGTCCCTCAGCTCCTAAATCCCCGTAGCTGGGAGCAGTAATAAGTACAAGGGGAAATGCCCAATCAGCAGGAGGTAGTGCACCATGTCTGAAGGCAGTGTAGAGAGGCGTCTTATTGACTAACTAAACCAGAGGTGCATAAGCTATTGCGAGCCCAACCTCACCTCTTCAGGTGCTGTGAAGGGACGTGCACAGAGCGGAGTGGCTGAGCAGCACCCGATCGACGTCCGTGGACTTAGACCAGAAATTTCAGTGCAAAGCAAGTGGTGGCCAAATACCGCTCCACCAAAGTACCTGAGAGAACAAGCAGCTGACGCGGGAGTTAGCCTGGCCCATAGGAGAACGCAATGGCTGCGCTATCTTTCTCCTGGCCTTGGCTAACTCCGTGTTGCCCTCCAGGCTCTTCTGCAAAAATCATTCTCTTTCCATGCTGCCGTGACCATTGCACCAGCCCGTCTCTTTTCATCTCTCCCCTCCTCCCTTGCATCCAACACCAGCTGCTTGCCTCTGCTCCCAAGACTTCTTGCGTCCTGTCGCTTCACGGATCATCTGTTATTGAGAAGCCAGCTCTGCCCTCCAACCGTCCCACGTGTTACCTTCACCATCGTGCGCTCCGGGATGTCTGGTGCGCTGCATCTCCTGCTCGGAAGGATCTCCCTATGAACATGCATACACCTACCTCGTTATCCCCCTCCGCTCTCCCTTGCCATGATGCCTATAACCCCGGGCTCCACTGCTTGCATCCTGTAACTGTCTCACTCTCTCCCAGTGCTTCCCCATCTGCTGCATTCACCCATTTTCTCTTGTCTAATACTTAGATCTCAACCTCTTTGGGTGCAAAGCGCCTTGCACACCCGAGTCCTGCTCCACGATTAAGACAAGGTGCTGCTGATCTGGTGCTAGACTCAAGTTGCTGCCGCAGAAAGGGTTTCCTTCCCTATGGCACTTCTCTGGTGGTTCGGCTATATATAGCTCGCTAACATTTTATGCTCCTTGTCTTTCTTGCCAGTCTCTCGGAGGCTGCAGCACGCAGCGCCCGTGTGATGGTAACGGTGAAGGAAGTCATTCACTCACCTTAAGCCTGACCTGCTCGTAGATAACGATAGGCCTGTTGCTGAAGGTAATGGCGTTGCAGAAGCTGGCCTGACGCTTCACTGCCTTCTGACTTGTGTCCATGATGATCTGGGACCCCTTGGTGTGGGGGTGGAAAAGCAGCGGGCTGATCGACAGAGCTCCACACTGCGGGATGGGGAGATAGTGCTTCTGCTTGTGGTGGCATCGGTGAGAAGAAGCTGGAAAGGGCCCACCTATAGAGTCTGGCAAAACACAAGAAAAAGAAGGGCGATTCGTTAAACCTGATCTGAGCTCTCGACACCAGTCCCTAAGACAACGTTACAGCAGAACCGCAGGTGGCCAAACCCCGATGCCATAAGTCACCGATAAATTTGGACCACGCCTTAGCTGGTACAAGTCTATAACCACGCACACGTCTGATGATGCAGAGCATAGTAGGGAGAAAACCCCCCAGCCTCCAAATCGGCAGAGAGTTTCCGGCCCCCGGTTTCAGAAGAGAAGTCAGCTTCCCTTTCCTGACCACTTCTTCACCCGGCCGCCACCAAGCTGCACGTGTCCCGTAGCCTCCTCTCACGCCCGCTGCTCCATCAGTCTCACAACACCCCGCTGCCTCTAATACGGGTGAAGTTACACGTTACACTTAGACTATGCTAAATCTGTGGGATGACAAGTGTTGAAGCATTGCTAGCGTTGAAGTTAGGACGTGCTGTGAGCAGTAGGCAAGGGGCACCACTGTTTCTTGCTTGCACAGCTCTGACTTGCCAAGAGACGGCTGGTGAGCTGGGGTGAGCCTAGGAGCCCGGACACCCGGGCTCTGTCCCTGCCTAGGCGGGGAGGGCTGGGAGTGGCACGTCCTAGGATGCTGGAAGACTTGGAAGATTGTTTTATCTCCGTGGAGCAGACTTGAACAGGTAGCAGGGCTCAGAGTTAACCCTCACCTGAAGCAGCGTAACTTTGACATTGCATTAGTTAATGAGCCTTAACGTATGGACGCTCACCCTTAGTATGCACTAAGTGTAACACGTAACTTCACCCTAAAATACTGCTCTATATCCTCCCAGCTGCTGTACTACACACACGCACGCGCGCCCATACTAAACATACAGCATTGTGGACTATATATATATCTCTACACTAAATATACAGCATTGTGAAGTAGCTTTCTTAACTGTTGAACAAATTAATTCATCTGCCGCCTTTCTCCGTAACAGGAAGCACACACATTTGAACACAACATAGCCACAGCATCAAGAGCAAGTCATCTGCTCCCTTTCCCACGCTTGAACCGTGCATGTGTGTATATGGGAGGGATGATCGCGGGAATAAGATATGGATTATCAATTTTTTAAAATCTCATTAATTGACAGTGCCCAATGGGACACAACCAAAGCAAAGCGAACTCAGGCATTAACTAAGGCACGGTGCGTCAAGTTGTCTCATAAGTTATGCACATCTATGTGCCACATGTTTAACTGCAGCATTCGGATGCACGGGCTGTATCAAATGAGCAAATGAAAACAAAACCCTCTGTGCAGCTTAGACGGCAATTATGGATTCAGGATTTATACCATGGAGTCGTAAAATGACTTCTGCTGTAGCTACCAACATTGTCTAAATTAGAGACAACAGAGAAACAGAACTGGACCCCGATCTTCCCAGACTTTCGCTCTTCCCAGACTTTGGGGGAGTTAGTATCGGTGTCCAGACTTGGTTGCTTCCTATAATGGCTGAACCAGGCCCTCTGAAACTTTGGAGAAAGATTGGTTTCTGATCAGAAGTCTTCAGGTGAGCTCCACCGCTAGTCGCTGGTTTTATCCTGCTTTTGATTTATTCTTACACCGTAGATCTCTGAAAGCTCGACCAGACATCGGTAGGACCGTTCTGTGCACGAGGGTTTCTATACCGCTTTAGCAGGGATGAAGTGGGTGACGAAACATGCACCCCATTCAACGCGATACAAAAAAATTATATGGAAAGCACGTCTCCTTTTCCAAGCCCAGTCCGGCATGTGTGTGTGGGGGAAGACTGTTTATATTTTTTAAAAATATATATAAAACTACCAACAGAAAATGAGTGATTATGGGCTGCAGGAACAGCTGGTGAGTGTGAAGTGGGTGTGGTATTGCAGGTGGGAAGGCATGGAAGGAGAAATCAATGAGCGCCATTCATCTTTTCCATAGGAACATGCGTCTGATTTATGGCAGCTGAACGAGAAGTAACAGGAAATAAGGTGCCGGTGCATGCTGCCTTGCGGGGCTGGCTGAAGTGATC